GGCTCTGGTTGGTCCTCATTATTGGACCAGAGGATTCTGGTTATTGATTTGAAGAAAGAGCAAGTTTTTTACTAAATATACAATTTGGATCAGAGGCTCTGTATCAAGTAATACTAGCTTCTATGTCAAAATTATATTTTAGAAGTTTTAAGAAAAGAATTTTATACTTAGAATCTTTTTATGAAAAACAGACCAGAGAGGCTCTGGTTGGCTTGCACGTTGAACCAAAAGCTCTGATTAGTGCAACCAGAGGTTCTGGTCGAGGAACCAAAAGCTCTGGAAGAAATACCAAAGGGGCTCTCGTCCTGGATGTTGAAATATATTCCAAGTGTGGTTTGTAACCAGAGGCCCGATGGACCGAAGCAGCATGATTTTAGTTTTGTTTCATAAGATGAATGATTGGAAATAAACGTTTTTATGATCTTCACCCTGCATTACATAAAAGGGAACCTGACTAGACATTCATGTCTAACCCTCATTTCGTGTTTTCAAAATTATGTGTGCATGTAAAGATAATAAGGGAAAGAGCATTATGTGAATTACTTCCCTCTGTGCTTAGCTGTTTTGGAAGCATAGATGCTAGGTTATAAGAGCATGTACATTTGAAATTTTTGGGTTGCGTATTTTACATTATAGACTCTTGTATGCAATGTGTGGATTTGGGGTGTTACAAAGTTGGTATCAAAGAGCCTGAGTTTAAGAGATTTAGGTATTCACATGTATGATACATAGACTTAAACTATTTCATTGCATATTAGGGTCCCAAACATAGTTAGCACCTTTGGAATAAATATAATAAGTTAAGAGATCAGTGTGTAAGGTATTTTCGGATTACATCTGGCCAATGTAATTTTGAATCTACAGGTACATAACTGAACTTGGACACTTTATTATATTTGGAAATGTGAAAAATATGTGTTTTAACTTTGTTATCTACAGATGGCTAGTAGATCGAGAATGTCAGAAAGGATCACCCGCCCCAATGAAGAAGAATACCCTGTTGCTCCTATTGTCACCTCTGAGGGCAGAAGCAGAGGCAGAGGTAGAGGTAGAGGTAGGGGGCAGACCAGAGGCAGAATAAGTCGGCCAGAAATTAATATGAATCAGGCAGAATCAAACTCTGAAAATATGAATCAAGAACGGATGTCTCACCCAGAATATATAACAAGAGACATATTAGCTGAAGAAATGGGAAACCTTGACTTCTATTTTGAGGAATCCTGCCAGAATAGAGACAGGCAGAATTGAAGTTACTCCATCGATTCCAATTCTCAATAACAGGGAAGGAGATATAAAGATGTTTCTAACTTGTAAACCACCAACCTTTTCGGGAGAAAGAGATCCAATTAAAGCTATGTGTTGGGTCAAAGAGATGGAGTCTGTATTCAATACCATCCGATGTGCAGAAATAGATAAAGTCAGATTTGCAGTCTCTGTGCTGAAATCAAATGCGTTATTTTGGTGGGAAGTAGAATCCTTAGCCAGAACCGATATTTTGCAAACTATGACATGGCTAGAGTTTGTCAATAGATTCAAGGAGCAGTTTTTCCCAAAAGCTGCCAATAGACAAATGGAAGAAGACTTTCTAAAATTGGAACAAGGAGACAGAACTGTAAGGGAATATACAGAGAAATTCATCGAATATTCAAGATTTGCAGAACATTATATTTCTTCGGAATCTAGAAAAGTGGAAAGGTATATTTGGGGATTGAAACCATCAATCCGAGAATTTGTCATAGCCATGAATCCGGCTAC